ACTGAAGTCTGACCTGCAGGGGCCACGGAGGTCCTGGCTGTACGATCAGAAAGAGCAAGCGGGAAGCTAAGGTCAGCCACCCCAGCGCAAAGTCAAACCCGCTGTCCTGCTTCCAGACCAGGGCCAGCTCCCGGACCAGACCCCGCAGGTTCAGGGCAAAGCCAGGTCCTGGCAAGGGTCAACAGTCAGCGGCTACCCATTCCTCCCAGAGCCGGGAGCCATTCAGCCAAAAGTTACGGACAGGGGAGGAGGAACGCTCGGGGCGCGCAGGGAGCAGACCTCCGATCCGAGGCAGCACCCTCTGGAGCAGGGAGCGACTGCACGCCCGGCCTAGGCCCGTCAGCCGCGGTGCCCTCACGGGCGTGCCCTCAGTCCCAGGGACACTTCCAGCAGTCGGCAGAGCTCTCACATCAGCTCCTGACCCACCAGGTCAGAGTTATTCCAGCAGGAAAGGTGAGGGAGGAGTGCCTACAACCCCACCCCGCCCCGTAGCTCTCTGGCAGAAGCCGCGGATGGAACCAACACAGCATCCCGGAGGGGAGGGGAGGGAAGGAGAGGGGAGGGGAGGGGAGGGGAGGGCAGAGCCTCCTGCTGCCCTCACACACGAGCGGAGCCCAAGCGCAGTGAGCCCCACCTAGTGTGCTGCTCTGGCCAGCCCAAACTGGCAGGTGCAGCAGACTGATGCAAACCGACCCGAGTGCTTGTCCCAAACTGTGCTGTGGGCTCTCCAGGGAAGGAGTCTTACCAGCAAGTGAAGAGGCCAGGCAGGCCCAGCAGCAATCCAATTTTAAGATCAAAGTGTCCAGGAGATCAGACCTGCACAGGTGTGCTGTGTGACTCCTCCCACTGTCACACCAACACCGCTCTGTCTCCCCCCACACTCTGCCTTGCTGGGCACCTTTTGAACAACTGACAGAGAAGGAAAATACAAGCCCGGTTCATGGCTGATGGCTCAGCCAGCTCTGGCCTTGGTGGTTTGTGTGTCTGTGCAATGTTCTCCAAACACAGCCGCCACATGGCAGAGATGGAAGCCACGCACAGGCCCCAGCATGAACTCCCTCTCGCGAGGCTGATGCGCGACTGGACAGCCCTAGAGACTGAAACGCAGTCTCTGCCATGGCACCCTCCCCGGAGAAGCCCCGCCTGCCGCACCCCTGCCATCCAGCAGAGGGCACAGCCCATTCCGAGGCTGACACATACACTGCCTGGTGCCTGTTTGGACCAGCGCCCCCGTTCAAGGGCCCCCATGTGTCAAAGCCACCACCGTGGGATCCTGCATAGCGGTGTGTCAAACCTAGAGTCCCTAGAGTCACACAACAGTGGCCCTGTGGCCAGACTCCTCAGTGTCTTACGTCACACACCACATCTCCTGGAAGCCACCAACCACCCAGAGAGGTAAACCAGCCCCTGAAAGACAGAGTTGAGGCACTGGCTCAGAGATAACACCCTGTGGGGATGGGAAGCAGGATGCACACACTCCGTGAGCCAACGGCCGTGGTATGGTGTGGCTTGTCTCCACCAGGTAAGCAGAGGCAGGACCAAGTGGACAGAAGTAGAGGTGACCCCCTCGGGCGCGAGGGCTCCTGCTGGGGAAAGCGCTGCTCCCTTAGCCTGGGCTCAGTGGTCAAGAGGTCCTGGCTCCCGGAAGGCTACGTTTCTGCCAGGTTCACCCAGGAAGTCACGACGGCGGCTGTCTGGGCCCTCTGGGTTCCTTGGACTCTTTTGGACAGACCAGTAGGCCTAGAAACTGAAGACCAGACTGGCAGGATAATGGACTCTGCAGCATGAGGAGTGAGGTCTGCTGTGACGTAACGGAGACAAGAAATTAGGGAACAGGGACCAGAGCTGTGGTGCAGCGGTTATACTGCTGCTGGGGGCATCGGCACCTGCGTCAGCACCTGTTCCCGCCCCGGGTCTGGCAGATCCCTTCCACCCAGCTCTCTGCGAAGATTCTGGGAAGACAGAGAAGATGGGCCAAGTGCTCGGGGTCCTGCTCCCACACAGGGGACCCGGAGGAGTCCCAAACTCCTGGCTTCAGCCTGGCCCAGCCCCAGCTGTTGTAGCCATTTTGGGAGTGAACCCGCATATGGAAGATCTCTCTCTCGATCTCTCTCTCTCTCTCTCTGCCTTTCAAATAAATAAGTCTTTATATATATATATGTATATATGTATATGTATGTATGTATGTATGTGTGTGTATATATATATATATATAAAAACTTTGTAACCAACCACAAATAACTCTTTGAAAATAGTTTTTACACTCAGGGCCCTTAACATTAATAGCTTTTTAAAAGTATGTTTTGGGGCCAGCACTGTGGCATAAGGCGCCAGTGTAAGTCCCGGCTGCTCCACTTCTGATCCAGCTCCCTACTAATGTGCCTGTGAATGCAACAAAACACGGCCCAAGTCCTTGGGCCCCTGCATCCACGGGGGAGACCCATAAGAAGCTCCTGGCTCCTGGCTTCAGACTGGCTCAGCTCTGGCCATTGCAGCCATTTGGGGAGTGAACCAGTGGATGGAAGATCTCTCTCTCTGTCTCTGTAATTCTGCCCCTTAAATAAATAAATCTTAAAAAAAAAAAAAAAAAAAAGAACTCACGAGCAGTTTAAGCTGCATCAACACTAGTTAGACTCTGATAGTCTAAAAAGCAATCAAAGTTGTTGTAACACATTAGGATTTTTCTTTGGTAAGCTTTAAAAATTTTTCAGGGGCCGGCGCTGTAGCATAGTGAGTTACTCCTCTGCCTGCGGTGCCGGCATCCCATATGGATGTGGGTTCTAGTCCCGGCTTCTCCTCTTCCAATCCAGCTCTCTGCTGTGGCCTGGGAAAGTAGCAGCAGATGCCCAAGCCCCTGGGCCCTGCACCCACATGGGAGACCTGGAAGAAGCTCCTGGCTCCTGGCTTCAGATCAGCACAGCTCTGGCTGTTGCGGGCATTTGGGGAGTGAACCAACGGAAGGAAGATCTTTCTCTCTGTCTCTCTCTCTCACTGTCTGTAACTCTACCTCTCAAATAAATAAATGAAATCTTTCAAAAAATGTTTTTCAACACTTAAGAACCATGAGAACACAATTACTGGATCCGCTTTTCCCAGAACTACTTTTAGTCAGGCTTTTTCCACCTAAAACCCTTCCTGCTGTGCATATTCCCGGCAGAGCAGGAAGCTGGATCAGAAGTGGAGCCGGGACCACACCCAGGGACTCTGACACGGGACACAGGCGTGCCGACGGCATCCCAGCCCTGCCCCAGCGACGCTTCTGTGAGAGTGAGAAGACGGCTCACGCTCACGCGGAAACTCAATGAGCTGCAGAGGGAACGCGCTCCTACAGTGCCCATGGTCCTCTTTTGTGCCAGCCTGACCCTTGCGCCAGAGGACGACAGACAGGAGCTTCTGGGGGCTGGTGTGCAGGGCGGCGGGAGAGCTGCTGCTGGCATCCCACAGGGGCACCGGGTCGCATCCCAGCTGCCCCACTTCCAATCCAGCTCCTGGGAATGGCCTGGGAAAAGCAGCGGAAGACGGCCCAAGTATTTGGGCCCCTGCCACCCACCAGAGAGACCCAGATAAAGCTCCTGGCTTTGGCCTGGCCCAGCCTTGGCCATTGCAGCCATCTGGGGAGTCTCTCCCCCTTTCTCTGCAACTCTTCAAATAAATAAATAAACCTTTAAAAAAAAAAAAAAAAAACTTCCGGCTGGGAGAGGCAGGTTAAGAAAATTTACTCCTGAAAGAGTGAAAGCCCACTTTCTCTGAGTTTCATCTGGATTGTTTTTAGGCACAAAAGCTGGACAGCCTCAAAACAATGGATACCTCAGTATTGTGCTACAGCTGACTCCATTGGAGAAAAGTGTCCCTTCAATTTCTCTTGCTCCGATAAAGAACTATTCCGACCACTCTGCCAGCATCCGAGTCCTACCCAAACATCCTCTAATACACTGGTACTTTCTGGACCCCAGTACAAGAAGTGCTCTTATGCTTCCAAACCACCTGAGTTAGCAAACAGCTACAGGAAGCAGGAAACAAAAAAGCAAGCACTACTGAGCCCGGGGACATGGAGTCCAGGAGCCTTCGTCTGGCCACGTCTGAAGCAGACCCCTTCTGCAGTGTTTTTGGTTCTGTGAGCCAATAGGCAGGGACCCATCTCCACCAATCTGCATTCTGGGAATCAATCTGAACCGGGTTTCCCCCTCCCTTGAGTTCCACATTAGCTGCAAGTGCAAGAGCACCTGCCTAAACAGGGGATGTTCATCAGGCGACGGCAGAGCGAGGTGGGCAGCTCCCGTGCTATCAATTCAACAAAACAACAATGCAAGCAAGAATCTGAGCTTCTCACCCACCCCCTGGCAATTTTTAGCATTCTGGCATCTGTCTTTGAGTCACACTGGTTTCAAGTTGACTACCAGCGCTCCGGACATCACTTCCTCATTCCGCAGCATCGGAGGAAGGAGGGGCGGGTTTCTATTGAGAGGACCCGTCATCTCAGCAGTCGCCAGACCCAGGTTTCACACCACCTTGCTGCCTTTACCCCCCAGCCCATCACAGGCAAAGGAAAGCGGAAATATTCCAACGACTAAGACTGTAGGTGCCCAGCACGCTTGAGCGCACTGAGGCAAGACACCGAGCAGAATCAGGCGTGCGGCAGCAGGCATGGTGTCCGAGTCCCCTATCAGAGTGCCGGGACTGGACTCCTGGCCCTGGCTCCCATCTCCAACCTTCCACCAACACCTGGCCTAGCAGCAGGGGTCGCCGTGCCCCCAGGGGAGTCCTCCGAGCAGCAGAGGCTGAAGAAAGGGGAGCTTAGACAGGCTTCCACAGGGGTGTTTGGGTGAGGAGGCAGCCACCCTTCTCCGGGTCCCCGGCCCTCCTCTGAGAGACGGGATCCTAATACCCCGGAATCAGTGCGATCAGGCGACGGGACTCTCACGGGCCCTGGCACTGGGGAGGCACGCAGGCTGGATGTCACGGTGACTGCTTTTACGACGGGAATCACCGCGAGCACTTACCCAGAGAAACCACAGCCACGCTCTCCGGCAGGAAATGCAGTCTGTACCTGATGAGCAAGTGCACCAGTATGATGCAGATAGCTGCAGGGAGAAGAACACGCTGTCAGAAAAGTACAGCCCAATCCTGAAGACAGAGTTACAGAGAGAGGCAGAGGCAGAGGGAGAGGTCCTCCATCCGCTGGTTCACTCCCCAGATGGCCTCAATATTTGGAGCTACAGTGATCTGAAGCCAGGAGCCAGGAGCTTCTTCCCGGTCTCCTATGCTGGCGTAGGGGCCCAAGGACTTGGGCCATCTTCCACTGCTTTCCCAGGCCACAGCAGAGAGCTGGAGCAGAAGAGGAGCAGCCGGGACTAGAACCGGCACCTATATGGTGGGATGCCGGCGATTTAGGCCAGGGCTTTAACCCACTGCGCCACAACGCCAGACCCAATATCTTATTTCTTAACTTGGGGGTAGACATACAGAGTTCATTATATTTTCTCTATACTTCTGTGTGCCTTAACCATAGTTCACTTTCTTTTTTTTAAATTATTTATTTATTTATTTATTTATTTTTTGACAGGCAGAGTAGACAGTGAGAGAGAGAGAGAGAGAGAGACAGAGAGAAAGGTCTTCCTTTGCCGTTGGTTCACCCTCCAATGGCTGCTGCGGCTGGCGTGCTGCGGCCAGCGCACCACGATGATCCGAAGGCAGGAGCCAGGTGCCTCTTCCTGGTCTCCCATGGGGTGCAGGGCCCAAGTACGTGGGCCATCCTCCACTGTACCCCCTGGCCACAGCAGAGAGCTGGCCTGGAAAAGGGGCAACTGGGACAGAATCCGGCGCCCCGACTGGGACTAGAACCCGGTGTGCCGGTGCCACAAGGCGGAGGATTAGCCTAGTGAGCCGTGGCGCCGGCCCCATAGTTCACTTTCCAGTGGTTACTGGAGGAGGAACAGAAATCTAATTGAGGCCCCGGTCAGCACATGGTGTCCTGCATCAGGGTGTTTGGGCCTCTGCCACCCACCTGGGAGAACTGAACCGACTTCCCAGCGTCCCCACCGCGAGCCTCTGGGGAGTAAAATAGCAGGTGGGGGATCTCTCTCTCTCTCAAATAAACAAATACAGTTTTAAAAAAGATTTACTTATTTATTTGAAAGACAGAGAGAGAGGTCTTCCATCTGCTGCTTCACTTCCCAAATGGCCACAATGGCTAGGGCGGGCACAGGCTGAAGCCAGGAGCTCCATCTAAGTCTCCCGTGTGGGTGCAGGGACCCAAGCACTTTGGCCATCTTCGGCTGCTTTCCCAGGCACATGAGCAGGGAGCTGAACTGGAAGCAGAGCACTCAGGACTCCAACCAGCACTCAGGGGCGCCGGCGTCACAGCTGTGACTCAACCTGCGGCCCCAGTCCCAATAACATTTTTTATTTTAAATGAAATCCTTTAAAAACATTTCGGGGAGTGAATCAGTGAATGGAAGGCCTTTCTCTCTCTCTCTCTCTGCCTCTCTGTAATTCTGCCTTTCAAATAAATAAATAAATCTTTTTTTTTTTTTTTGACAGGCAGAGTGGACAGTGAGAGAGAGAGACAGAGAGAAAGGTCTTCCTTTGCCATTGGTTCACCCTCCAATGGCCGCCGCGGCCGGCGCGCTGCGGCCGGCGCACCGCACCGATCCAGTGGCAGGAGCCAGGAGCCAGGAGCCAGGTGCTTTTCCTGGTCTCCCATGAGGTGCAGGGCCCAAGCACCTGGGCCATCCTCCACTGCACTCCCGGGCCACAGCAGAGGGCTGGCCTGGGAGAGGGGCAACCGGGACAGAATCCGGCGCCCCGACCGGGACTAGAACCTGATGTGCCGGCGCCGCTAGGCGGAGGATTAGCCTAGTGAGCCGCGGCGCCAGCCCAAATAAATAAATCTTAAAAAATATTTAAAATTATTCAAAACTTTCTGATTCTGCTAAAAGATTCTCAATTGTTTTGAAGCAATTGCCAAGGAGAACTCTAAAAGGTAAGGAGAGAGTCACGTACGTCAATCTAATAGCTGACAGGAGGTCCTGGCCCGTGTGACTGGCTCTCTAACACAGAAGGAAGTAAAGGCGTCTACAAACAGGTGAAAGCAGGTGCTTGGGTTTGGTGACAAGGACATCAGAGAGAGGTGGAGACGGGACACTCCTGCTCTCTAACCGGGTGCACCTCTCCCCCCGGGGCACCTGGGAGTCAGGACTCTGCCCAAGACTGTCTCACTCAACCCCTCAGTGCCCAGCGAACCAGCCATGACTACCATTATCTGCTGTGGGTAGAGATGAAGGAAGTGGGCTTGCCTGCACAGCACGGCAGGTGTCACTGCCACAGTGACTCCGCCCCCCACTCACCCCCACTGGCTGCCTTCACCGCTCACCTCCCACAGACCACGAGGCCTGAGAGAGAAGTGGAGCTGACAGAAAGAACTACATGAAAGGAGTATTTCTGGACAAAAAAAAAAAAAAAAAAAACAAACACACACAAAAAACAAAACACACACACACACACACAAAAAGCGCACTTTGGTATAAATCATTCCTGAGTGTAATCTCTCAGTCCAAACACTGGTGTGTGTGTCTCTGTCAGTCAGGCACCTGGGTGGTAGTACTAGCTGATCAACTACAGGATTATCTTGATGGTACTAAAAATAATTGTGTGAGTTTCTTTTAAGAGGAAAAAAATTTTTTTTTTTTTTTTGGACAGGTAGTTATAGACAGTGAGAGAGAGACACAGAGAAAAGGTCTTCCTTCTGTTGGTTCACCCCCCAAATGGCCGCTACGGCCGGAGCTATGCCGATCCGAAGCCATGCAGGTACAGGGCCCAAGCACTTGGGCCATCCTCCACTGCCTTCCCGGGCCACAGCAGAGCTGGACTGGAAAAGGAGTAGCCGGGACAGAATCCAGCGCCCCAACCGGGACTAGAACCAGGGGTGCCGGCGCCACAGGCGGAGGATTAGCCTAGTGAGCAGCGGCGCCGGCCAGAGGAAATTTTAAACAGTCTGCGTGGGCTGTCTGCTGGCCACCGCGGAGCCCACGCTGGCAAACTGGAGTCCTCAATCCCAGCAGGAAGCGCCAGGTGGCCAGAGAGAGGCAGCAGTTGTAAATATGGAAATCGTGGCCCCCTCTCATTCTGGCTTTGAACTATCAATCTGTGGTGCTACTTTAACATAAATATTTAACCTAGTTAGGGAGCCCTGCTCTAAACACCCAGAGCAAGACAAACGCGACACAGAAGCACGACTCGGGCCCAGGAAGGCTCCGCACACCTGGAAACATGGAGAGGCGGCCCCAGGGTGTGAGCACTTGGGACAAGAGGGTCGGGGACCGGTCGGCCTCTGCTCCTTGGTGCAGCAGCGGGGTCCTACGGATTAACCGAGACATCAACCAGACAGCCACCGCGGCCTTCAGAGCACACGGCAAACTGCCTGTCCGTGGACAGCACTGAACGTGAGGTTCAACACCAGCTAAAGGCCTTCAGTCCCCACAAAGATCACGGTATGAAAAGGACCTTTAGAACAGGAGAAAAGACCTGCAAATCCTCTCCGAGGAAGGCCCGGTAGCCAGAACATAAAACTCAACTGCTAAGAGACAAACAACCCAACCTCAGAACGGACCAGGGACGGAACGGACTTCTCCAGGGGACGGGCAGGCGGTCGGGGGCTCAGCGCCACCAGCGGCAGCAATGATCATCACCGGGGAAAGGCACCTGCAAACCAGGCTCGGGCCGCACACCCACATGGACGCAGGCTATAATTTAAGACACAACGACAAGAATCTGAAGAGATTGGGGCCAGTGCCGTGGCATAGCGGGTAAAGCCGCTGCCTACAGTGCCAGCAGCCCATATGGGCGCTGGTTCGAGTCCAGGCTGTTCCACTTCTGATTCAGATCTCTGCTATGGCCTGGGAAAACAGTAGAAGATGGCCCAAGTCCTTGGGCCCCTGCACCTGCGTGGGAGACCGGGAAGAAGCTCCTGGCTCCTGGCTTCAGATCAGCGCAGCTCCGGCCATTATGGTCAATTGGGGAGTGAACCAGCGGATGGAAGACCTCTCTCGCTCTCTGCATCTCCTCTCTGTGTAACTCTGACTTTCAAATAAATACATAAATCTTTCTTTGAAAAGAAAAAAAAAAGAATCTGAAGAGAATGACAGCCTTATAAGACACTGCAGATCGGGCAACAGTTTACCAGCTCGGGAGAAAGTTAAATATAGAATAACCACCAGAATTGCACTCCTAGGTATGTATCCCTGAGAAATAACAACACCCCAGTACTGGCACACTGGCACCCACGTGCTCCTAACAGCACTATTGACAACAGCCGGAGGGGGAATCAACCCAAACGCTCGCCAAGGGATTGACGATAAACCGAAAGCAAAGCAGCCTATCTACACGGCGCAACGTTTCTCAGCCGAAAGGAGCGCGTGCCGACCCACGCTACCACGTGCACGGACCCTGCAGACATGCCAGGGAGAAAACCAGTCGTAAAGGCACCAACTGCACGCCTCCACTGTGAAAGAGCACAGACAGGCAAATTCGAGAGAGCAAGCCGAAGGACAGCTGCCGTGGAAGAGGGCGTTGAGGAGCGCGTGCCTGCAGCGGCCCGAGCCACGGGTGCCTACCTACTCAGCTGGGAGGCAGAGGGAGCTCCCATCTGCAGGTTCACTCCCCACACGCCCCGGACAGCCAGCACTGGGCCTGGCCGAGGGTGGGAGCAGGAACTCAACCCAAGGAAGTCTCCCATGTGGGTGGCAGGGACCCCGGGACGTGAGCCATCACCGGCTTCTTCCCAGGGGCACGTGAACAGGAAGCTGGATTGGGAGCAGAGCCAGCACTTGAAACCAGGCACTCTGATGTGGGGGCATCCCACGTGTTAAGCCACATGCCCTCCCTCAACCATGGTTTCAATGGTTTCCTTCTGTGGTGATGAAAATGTTCTAGACCAAGTCCACAGTTGACAGTTGCACAGTATCGTAAAGGACCTAAGCGCTGCTGAATGGTCATACTTCAAAGTGATTTCAATGGTAAATTTTATGTTGTGTATATTTTAGCACAGTAATAATAGTAATACAAAAAGGAAGGCCGGCGCCACGGCTCACTAGGCTAATCCTCCGCCTTGCGGCGCCGGCACACCGGGTTCTAGTCCCAGTCGGGGCGCCGGATTCTGTCCCGGTTGCCCCTCTTCCAGGCCAGCTCTCTGCTGTGGCCAGGGAGTGCAGTGGAGGATGGCCCAAGTGCTTGGGCCCTGCACCCCATGGGAGACCAGGAGAAGTACCTGGCTCCTGCCATCAGATCAGCGCGGTGCACCGGCTGCAGCGCGCCAGCCGTGGCGGCCATTGGAGGGTGAACCAACGGCAAAGGAAGACCTTTCTCTCTGTCTCTCTCTCTCTCTCTGCCTGTCAAAAAAATTTAAAAAATAAAAAAAAGAGTAATACAAAAAGGAAGACGTGGATATAAAAACACCAACACGGAAAGATCTCTAAGACGTTCTGTGAGAGGAAAACGTATGTTAGGGGAGCCCATGTATGTTAAGACAAACAAACTCCAGGCCACAGGCACCTGTATGTGCTCAGACTATGTACATATGTACAGTGTGGACATACGATCACAGGCTCCCTATGAGCAACACATACATACAAGCACACGGCTCCACATGCACATATGTACATCCGAGCACATGCTCCATACGAACAACACATACATACAAGCACACGGCTCCACATGTACATATGTACATACAAGCACACGCTCCATATGAACATGTACACACAAGCACATGACTCCACGTGTACATATGTACATGCAAGCACAGGGCTCCACATGTACATATGTACATATGAGCACATGCTCCATATGAACACGTACATACAAGCACATGGCTCCACATGTACATATGAGCACAGGCTCCATATGAACACATACATACAAGCACACGGCTCCACATGTACATATGTACATACAAGCACAGGCTCCATATGAACATGTACATACAAGCGCACGGCTCCATATGTATATACGAGCACATGCTCCATATGAACATGTACATACGAGCACACGGCTCCACATGTATGTATGTATATACGAGCACACGGCTCCACATGTACATATGTACATACGAGCACATGACTCCACATGTATGTATGTACATACAAGCACATGGCTCCACATGTATGTATGTATATACGAGCACAGGGCGCCAAAGATACTTGGAAACAACAGAGCAAGAAGGCACAAACACTCCCGTGTGGCACAGGGGTAAATCCACCACAATCAGTGTGCTTCTAATTCTCCACTTGAAGCAGTAATCATGCAAAACACACAAACGCACACATGCCAGTGTCCGTAACGCCGCTACCTTCACACACGGAAAGCCCGCGAGCCGAGTGGTGTTACCAGTTAAGTCCCCGTAAGTCACCGGCGATGACGCACCAGTTGCTTGCGGAGTCAGAGCAGCCGGGATGACACACTCGTCACACTGGTGAGCCGAGTGCTGCCGTCCCCTCTCGGCAGGACTGCCCCACGGCACGCTCATGGACACAACGGTCGTAACCACAGTCGTCAACCAAGTGCCAACCGTGCTCCAGGCGGGGGCTTCCGAGACCTGGATAATGACGGGCTAGCATTCCCACAGCAACTATGGCTCGGGTACGGTCTGCAGTCAATCAACAAGCGGCCTGTTAACAGTAACTGACTTTATGTCTCAGGTTGACACCGTTTGGACACACAATCAGGAATAAATGGTAACCATAAGTGTACTTAAAGCAAGCACCAGGCGTTTGGCACGATGGCCCAGACGCCGCCTGGGGAGCCACTTCCCGCACTGCCCCCGAGTCCAGCTCCCTTCCTATGTGCGCCCTGGGAGGCGGCAGGGAGGCTCCCGTAGATGGGTTCCTGCCTCCCACCTGGGAGACCTGCACTGCTTGCCAGCTCCTGGCTGGCCCACCCGGGCTGCTGCAGGCATTTTGCGGAGTGAATCGGGATGAGAGCCCTCCCTCTCCCTAAGCCAGCATCATTTTATTCTGCTAATGCATGCTGGCCCACAAGTAAGTGGGCAGAAAGTCCCAAAGTCTCATGAAAACAAAACCATGGATCAAAAGAAAAATCAGGAATGCAACTCCAGGAACCAGGTTTGTGATCTGTCTGAAGAGCAGACAATAAAAGGGAAACGTGTCACCTTCAGATACAGCTCAGCCCTGTCTGAGCCCCAAAGCACCAGGCAGGATTCCGCCCGGACTAGAAAGCACACAATGACACCCTGTTCTGTAGTCTCCAGGACAGGTGAACCCTAACTGCGCCACACCCGACAGTCACTGAGAAGGTCGTCCCACCGTCCCTCCCCCGCCTTTGTGCGCTCACACTCGCCATCCCGCCCACAGCCACGGAGAGACTGTTGGACTCCAATCCTGGAGGGAGACCTCAGAAAAGAACTGCTCTCTTCACCGGTTCAGCCACGGCAGCCAACGCCGACGGAACACAGCGGAGCCCGGCTGGTGGAGCGGCCCCCGAGACGCAGCCTCACCCTACACAGGGCAGGCACGTGGAGAGCCTTCCCCTCTGTGTCCTTGCTCAGTGCTCAATGTAAAAGCTTTAGAAACTCAGACACGTGGATGGAGCTTACGATTCCCATCACAATCACTTCCCTAGGCGTTCTCTGACTACTTCCCAGCGTGCACACACAAATATGAAACAGGCGGACTTCTCCTTGAAAACGCCTTCCCAGCCATCCGAGGAACAGTCCAGAAAACTCGGCTCCACCTCTCTCCGGTCTGAGAAGACTCACTTTGACAAGAAACGTGACTTCTCATAAACAAGAGTGTTAATTTGTTAAGTCAACAACAGGAGTCATTGTGCACTTACTCCTCATGTAGGATCTCTGTCCTTAATGTGTTGTTCAATGTGAATTAATGCTATAACTTGTACTCAAACAGTATTTTACACTTTATGTTCTGTGTGAGTGCAAACTGTTGAAATCTTTACTTAATATATGCTAAATTTATCTTCTGTATATAAAGATAATTGAAAGTGAATCTTGATGTGAATGGAATGGGAGAGGGAGTGGGAGTTGGGAGGGTTGCGGGTGGGAAGGAAGTTGTGGGGGGGGGAAAGCCATTGTAATCCATAAACTGTACTTTGGAAATTTATATTTGCTAAATAAAAGTTAAAAAGAAAGAAACATGACTTCAGTATCCTCAAATGTGACCGGGCCACCTTCACTCTCAAGGGAGAGTGTGGATGAGGAATTTGGCCCGACCCCAAGCCACTTCCCCAGACAGTGACTCCAAAGAGGCTGCGCAGAGCCCACAGGACCTCTTTTGTCTAAGGGTTTTCTATCATCTGCCGCCCCCAGGGGACACGGAAGGGCCCGGCTTTTATCTCAACCTCCCTGGCAGCCTGGATTTTGCTCTCCGGCTCCCACCAGACAGGCGCGCCGCCTCGTGACCTCTCCAGGCCCGTACTTCCTCTCCCCCTCGACGTGAAGGCTGAACACCGTGGGGTCTCAGGACCGAGTGGCTCCAGGAAATGGCCGTCCGGCAGAACAGCACAGGCAGCCCACGGCACAGCGAGGCTCATGACCACCGCTCACGCTCACCGCAAAGACAGGGGCTGGGAGAGAGCTCAGGCAGCGCCTCCCTGACCCACTCGGCAGTAAGACCTTTAACTAGGGGCCGGCGCTGTGGCATCGTGGGTAAGGCCGCCCCCTGCAGTGCCGGCATCCCACATGAGCGCTGGTTTGTGTCCCAGCTGCTCCACTTCCGATCCGTCTGCCTGCTAATGTGCCTGGGAAAGCAGCAGAAGAGGGGCCCCTGCACCCACGTGAGAGACCCAGAAGATGCTCCAGGCTCCTGGCTTCAGATTGGCGCAGCTCTAGCTGTTGCGGCCATTTGGAGAGTGAACCAGCAGATGGAAGACCTCTCTCTCTCTCTGCCTCTCAAATAAATAATAAATAAATCTTAAAAACAAAAACAAAAACACCTTTAGCTAAATACATTGCACAGAAACCAAACGCAGCTCTGATAGAAACTGGGATACTGGCGGCGCCGCGGCTCACTAGGCTAATCCTCCGCCTTACGGCACCGGCACCCCGGGTTCTAGTCCCGGTCGGGGCGCCGGATTCTGTCCCGGTTGCCCCTCTTCCAGGCCAGCTCTCTGCTGAGGCCTGGGAGTACAGTGGAGGATGGCCCAAGTGCTTGGGCCCTGCACCCATGGGAGACCAGGAGAAGCACCTGCCATAGGATCAGTGTGGTGCGCAGGCCACACTGGCCATTGGAGGGTGAATCAACGGCAAAGGAAGACCTTTCTCTCTGTCTCTCTCTCTCTCTCACTGTCCACTCTGCCTGTAAAAAAAAAAAAAAAGAAGCTGGGATGCCCTCCCACAGACTCGCCCATGTCTTGGCACCACTGCCACCCCGCCCCAGGCTCCTGCGATCAGAATGCAAAACGCACGACATTAGATGTCCAAGCTCCTTTGCAGGTCAAAGTCTTTCCCTGCACGCTGTTGAGGGCCTTCCCCGGAGCCTCTTCCGACTTACTAAGCCGTGGTTTTCTAAAGAAAAGAGAGGCTCCTGTTGCGGCGCCAGGAACTGAAGAGGGAACCCAACCGGAGGAAGACGCGGCACGCGGCGGGGACACAGGGACAGAGCAGGCGCGCCCGCCCGGCAGTCACCTAGGCGGGGACACAGGGACAGAGCAGGCGCCGGCAGTCACCTAGGCGGGGACACAGGGACAGAGCAGGCGCCGGCAGTCACCTAGGCGGGGACACAGGGACAGAGCAGGCGCGGCAGTCACCTAGGCGGGGACACAGGGCCAGAGCAGGCGCCGGCAGTCACCTAGGCGGGGACACAGGGACAGAGCAGGCGCGGCAGTCACCTAGGCGGGGACACAGGGCCAGAGCAGGTGCGCGGCAGTCACCTAGGCGGGGACACAGGGCCAGAGCAGGTGCGCGGCAGTCACCTAGGCGGGGACACAGGGACAGAGCAGGCGCCGGCAGTCACCTAGGACGAGCAGGCTGAAGAAGATGGTCATGCCGCTGGACTGCTCCTCCTGCTGCGCCTGCTCCCCGGTCTGCACCGGGAGGATGGGCTTGGCGGCGGTCGGCAGCACCAGCCGCGTCGTGGCAGCCAGGGTGCTGCGCAGGGTGACATTGATGCCCTCGTGAGTTGCATTGGGGAACCTGTTGGAGGACAGGAAAAGCAGCAGAATCAAGACAGCGCCGAAGCCTCGGGCTCCCGACCTCAAACCAGAGACCCCGGCACAGAGCTCCGCGGAGCTCACAAGTCTCGTGAACAGCGCACAGGGCCCGGGGAAGGGGCGCTTCAGGTGTGGGCGCACGGACGGGGTGAACAGAGGGGACCAGGCTGCAGGAGAAACGCTGCCCGCTCTCTGGCACCTACTGGGGGGCACCTAGGCTCTCTCACCCCATTCCCGGGTCCAGCGCTCCATTTAGCACCTTGATTTCTCGGGCTCATGGATCCCGCCTGTGCCCGGTTGCTGCTGAGGTCAGATGTCTCACCGCACCCCACCCTCCAAAATCCTCCTGAGACGTCGAAAGTCTTAGTTAACTCTTCTGTAACAGCCCACTCCGCCCCCATTCATCCAGCCCTCGGCTTAAATTCTTACTCATTGTGCTGGGGCCGTGGGCTAGCCCACTGGTGGAACACTGCTGGGGCCATGAGCTAGCCCACTGGTGAAACACTGCTGGGGCCGTGGGCTAGCCCACTGGTGAAACACTGCTGGGGCCGTGGGCTAGCCCACTGGTGGAACACTGCTGGGGCCGTGGGCTAGCCCACTGGTGGAACACTGCTGGGCCGTGGGCTAGCCCACCGGTGGAACACTGCTGGGGCCGTGGGCTAGCCCACCGGTGGAACACTGCTAATTGTGACTGTCACCCTTCATCTTACTGAGCACTGCTTCAGCCCGGGACCAGCTAACACACCTCTGGCTGAACACGCCGAGGTGGGCTCTGAATTTCCGTTTACCCGTGCCGTGCGTCGCCAAGCCGGACACGTTCTGCAACCCGGCCAACATCTCAGCCAGCCCGCCGCCCACTCCAGCCTCCAACCTAAGAATCCCTAAGAACCACGGGGCGGTCCCAGCTCTTGGCCTGGCTCTGCCGAGGTCCGGGCTGATGTCTGGGACAGAGAGGTGGCTCAGGGAGTGACTCACAAGGGGCGACCCCCACTGGGCTGTCACTCAGGGGCTCCCCCTGGACCCACACACTCTGCGTACACAAACAGCGGACAATGGAGGGTGACAGCTGGCGCCGCAGCCAGGCCGCCCCTCTTATCAGTCCCCGCATCCCGGATCCCGCACGGACTCCCGGGGGAGCGCGGATCCGAGGCGGGGCACCGTGTTCCTGTCCGTGGTCTTCTTTCCCCACCACAGTGGAAGCTCCCCGGGGCCCCTCCCAGGCCGGCCTCCTGCACGGCGCAGTGCCCGGGGCCCGCAACTGAGCGGATGGCCAACAGCCAATGAATGAATGAAACGGTGGAGGCGACAGACACACAAACTGCTCGCTACCGAGGAGGAGGCGACTGGCCAAGGGCTGGGGGGTGGAAGTGCGGGACCGGGAAGGCTTCCAGGAGGAGGAGGCAGAGCTGAGTAACCTTCAGATGATCCAAAACTGGGAAAGCGGGAAAGCGGGTCACGGCTGCCGCAACACGGCTCTCGGGGCGTGCGCTGAGCGGCACATCCGCCAGCCCCAGGGTCCGTGCGACCTCCGAGAGGCTGTGGGGCCCTAGGGGGCCCTAGGGGGCCCGGGCCCGCCCATCCCTCCCTGCTCTTCGGCGCCGGCAGGGTCAGCCCTGGCCCACGGGCACAAGGAGTCCCGCACTGAGGGGCCAGAGGGCGATCTGAGGAGCTCGCTGTCACGCGCCTGGGCCCAGCCCTGCCTCCGCCTCCGCCGCCCCGGAAAAAGCCCACTCACTCCTCTTCCGCCATCTTCTCCCCCATTCTGCGGAGCCTCCAAGACCACCGAGTTCGGAGCCACGGGGCTAGCAGGACCTGCTGTTGCTTCCGGCTTCCGCTGGAGGCGCCGGCGGCCCGGCGAGCAGGGGGGCGGGGTCTCAGCCGCGCGAGGCGACTCTCTGTCCCTTCGTCTCGGTGGCGTGAGGGTGGGAGGAAGCGCGTGGGAGGACCCTCTCGCGCGGCCGCTGGAAATTCTGGCTTCTCCCGAGCGTGAGCCCCGGGCGATACGGGGGAAAGTGCTGCGGGTCGCTGTGACGCACCCTCCACCAGCGCCCTGGGGTCCTCCGTGCTGAATTGAGGACGGACACTCAGCTTCTGCCCTGGGCCGCACCGACTGACCCCAGGGGGGCGTGTCCCCTGAGCCTCAGTTTCCCTCAGCTCTACGGGGCCATAACCACGTGGACTTTGCCAGACTGTTCAGTGTCCCATGTGTAAACGTTTCCTGAGTGTAGGCTGTGCGCCTGGCATTAACGTAGCTGCTGAAGGTCCAGGAGTGGATCACTCATTCATTTGTTCACTGACTGAACAACTGCTGACACCAGTCAGTAGCACCTAGCAGTGGCCTGTGGGGCCCCGGATGTAAGCGAGGCCGGAGGGGTCAGTGGTACCCACCGGGCGGGCTAGTGCCTAGCTAAGAGCTTCCGTGTGATTGGCCGCGTCTCGCCTGGTAGCCACAGTGACACCCTGGCACATCCTGCGGGGTCCCTGGTCTGCCATTGTGCCCTGGGGTCTTGCACAGAGGGCTGAGAGGGTTAACAGCCTCAGGCCCTCCCCTGCAGAATCTAACACCTTCCCGCCTCAGAGAAAGCCTTGGGCGGGCAACGGCAGATTTCAGCCCTGCAACGGCCACCCCCACCCTCACCCCACCCCCGCATTCCCCCTGTTGTCACAGGTCCTCTCTGTGCCCCACACGCCAGGACGGTTCCACCTGTGCTCTGGCTCAGATCCTTTGTCCAGAATGCTCTGCCCTTACCCAGCCTTTGCCCCGCCGTTGCCACCTCCGGGCTTTTGTTGAGCATTGACCCTGTGTGCTGGGCTTCCCCACCACCCCACGGCTCAAACCCCGCGGGCTCCAGCTTCCGTGGGTCTACCCCGCCTGACGTGGCACGTGCTGTTTGCTTGACTTGTAGATGCGTCGTGTCTCACCCTTCTCGTTTTATCTGTTACCTAGAACACTCCCTGGAGTATCAGCATCCCTTCAACAAGAAGCAGTCATACTGAGAGAACAAGTACTTCCGTTAGTGACTTCCAGGGGCGTTAGGAAGCCACAGAAGGGCCTGGAACAGGGGCGAGACGTGGACTTGTGGAAGGCTGGCTGGCGGTGGGTGAGTGACAGCGGAAGCCTGGAGGCCTTGGCCGTGACCTGGGTGGGAGCTGATGGAGTCTGGATGAAGGTGATTTCGTGGAGGTGCCGGGATGCCTGGGCTGCGAGTGCATGTGGAAGGCGGGGCTTGCTGACCGAACGTGGCAGGTTAGAAACAGGAGTCTAGGGTGAGGTCAGGGCTTTAAACCGGGTGGAGAAGGGACCTGGCCGGCTCCAACCCGGAGTTCTCCACCCTCCCAGGCTTCTGTCAAAGCCAACAGGGGCTGTGGTTAGGATCCGCCAAGGTTTATTGAAGCCTTCCTGTGGGTGTGGTGCCGGGCTGTTGTCCGCTTAATTCCTACCAGATCTCCCTGGCAGGTAGTGGCATTGTCCACTGGCTGAAACGCAGACAGGCCAGGGCTCTTGCCCGCTGTCACCCAGCTAGCGAACGTTGACACTAGGCTTTGGGCGCAGGGTTTGTTTTCACCCTGTAGCTCCGTTGCTCTCAACTGCCTTGATTTTTCTGGCTCTAAAATGGGGCCAGTACCTACTTACAGCCCTCAGCGTGGATCTGGTGGGAGAAGAAGTGGCCCGTAGGGGACTGAGAGCCAGGTTCTCCCTGGCCACACCTATTAACTGAGGGCTCGGGACCCCTACTCTTTCTCCTGCCCCGAGAACCCTCTTCTGGCTAGAATTCCCCAACGGCTGCCCCAGCCCCTGCCAGCAAAGCCCACTCAGTGCCATGGAGATGCTGAGCTTCTGGTCTTGGCTTCCTGACAACAAAGTGGCTGCAGAGCACCTGCTCCCAGCTCTCCCACGTACGGGTCCCAGGCTCTCCTCACCCAGTCCTGGGAATGAGTCTCAAATCCCAGGTCGTTGCCCTAGGAAGGAAATAGAGGCATTCAACATACAGTGCCTCGGGCTCCTGCTCTGTGCCAAGCAAGGACAGGGCCAGCAAAGGGCGCAGCAAGTTTGGGCACCAGGCGGTCCTGCTCCCAACCCTGGGAGGCCTCAGCCCCCTAGGCCTCAGCCCCCAGGCATTTTCCATCAGAGCCCCTTTCCCGAAGTCTGTTGTGGGATGAGCAAACCCCTGTCGTTCTCTGCTGTGACTGCTCTGCCCACCTGTCCCAGTCTTCCTTTTCTGTCTTCAGGTCTCGGCCTAGATGTCACCTCCCCGGCTACTGAGCCGGAAGCGAGGGTCAGCAGACTCTTCTGAGATACTGCAGGCTCTGCTGGCCTTGCGGCCTCTGTGCGTCAGCTCAGCCCCCAGTGTGAAGCAGCCACAGGAGGACTCGAGCCCGGTCTTCCGCGTGGGTGGCAGGGGCCCAAGCTCCTGGGCCGTCCTCTGGTGCTCCGCTTCCGATCCAGCTCCCTGCTGATGGCCTGGGAAAGCAGCGGAGGAGGGCTGGAGTGCGCTATGTAAGATGAGCCAGTGAGGCTTCTGGGAAAGGTGGAGGAACTCACAACGTTTCTGCTTTCCCTGCGCTCCTAAGCCCCACTACATTCACAATACAGGGACTTATTTTTCATTGTTCTCTCAACTTGTTTCTTTCACATTTTTCTCTTTTTAAAAAAGAGATGTATTTATTTATTTGAAAGGTAGAGAGAAAGGCAGAAAGAGGGGCCTGGTGTTGTGGCATAGCAAGTAAAATTGCCACCTGCAGTGCCGGCATCCCATGTGGGCACCGGTCCGTGTCCTGGCTGCTCCACTTCCAATCCAGCTCCCTGCTAATGGCCTGGGAAAGCAGTAGAGGATGGCCCAAGTGCTCGGGCCCCTGCACCCACGTGGGAGACGCAGAGGAAGCTCCTGGCTTCGCCTGGCCCAGCCCTGGCTGTTGCAGGCATGTGGGGAATGAGCCAGGGGAAGGAAGATCTCTCTGTCTTTCTCTCTCTCTCTGTGTGTGACTTTGACTTTCAAATATATAAATAAATCTTAGGTGAAAAAAAAAAAAGAAAGAGATCCTCCATCTGCTGGTTCACTTCCCAAACGCTCACCACAGCGACAGGGCCAAGCAGAAGCCCGGAGCCAGCACCGCACTCCCCACCTCGCACCTGTGTGCAGGAACCCAAGTCCTGGAGCCGTCAGCGGCTGTTTCCCAGGGTGTGCATGAACAGGAAGCTGGGTGGAAGTGCAGGAGCCGGGACTCCAAGCCAGGTGCTCCGATGTGGGGGGCCGGTGACACCTGCCCTCGGGCTTACTTGTGAAGGCGCAAACCTGGAGAATAGGCGAGGAGGCAATAGTCAGGACGTTTTGGAAGATGGAGAGCAAATGGGTTACCCGGAAAACGACTCGTCAGAGCCGGGAAAGCTGACTCTTCAGCCAGCACTGGGGAAAGCCAAGGTCAACCCGATTCATCTCCCAGATTCCATAAACCAATGGTGCCTCTGCAAGCAGAAGCGAAATGGGGAGGGGGCCCTGATGAGGAGAGGAGGGAAATAAGAAAGCTACAAATAGGGGCAGGCGCCGTGGCTCACTTGGTTAATCCCCCGCCTGCAGCGCCAGCATCCCATGTGGACTCCAGTTCTAGTCCCGGTTGCTCCTCTTCCAGGCCAGCTCTCTGCTGTGGCCAGGGAGTGCAGTGGAGGATGGCCCAGGTGCTTGGGCCCTGCACTCCATGGGAGACCAGGAGAAGCACCTGGCTCCAGGCTTCAGACCAGCGCAGCACCGGTGGTAGCGGCCATTTGGGGAGTGAATCAACGGAAGGAAGACCTTTCTCTCTCTCTCTCTCACTGTCTACAACTCTGCCTGTCAAATAAAAAAAAAAAAAGAAAGAAAAAAGAAAAAGAAAGCTACAAGTCAATCTGGGAAGCAATCAGGCTGGCAGATCCCACCAGAAAAGTCAGTGTGGCAGCAAAACACTGAGCTTGGAGACCCTGCCAACCTCCGGAAGACAGAGGGAAGGCAGGTCAGGTTTGCTTGTTTGTTTAAGATTTATTTACATGAAAGGCAGAATTACAGAGAGAGAGAAAGTCTTCTATCCACTGGTTCACTCCTCAAATGGCCACAACGGCCAGAGCTGCGCTGATCTGAAGCCAGGAGCCTGGAGCTCCTTCTGGGTCTCCCACGTGGGTGCAGGAGCCCAAGCACTTGGGCCATCCTCTGCTGCTTTCCCAGGCTCATTAGCAGGGAGCTGGATCGGAAGTAGAACAGCTAGGACTCGAACTGGTGACCCTATGGGATGCCAGCACTGCAGGCGGCAGCTTAACCCACTACACCACAGTGCCGGCGCCAGCAGGTCCTGTTACAGGCTCAGAACAACTGAGCCTGGCAGTAAGAAAGCAATCAAGTCATGTCTGAAATTCTGAAGGAAAATTATTTCCAGCGGAGAATTCTATACCCAGCCAAGCACCAGCAAAGAAACAGAGGATCCGGAAAGCATTTTCACATATAAAAGTCTCAAGTTCTCAGGGCCGGCGCTGTGGCGCAGCGGGCTAACACGCTGGCCTGAAGCACCGGCATCCCATATGGCCGCCAGTTCTAGTCCCAGCTGCTCCACTTCTGATCCAGCTCTCTGCTATGGCCTGGGAAAGCAGTGGAAGATGGCCCAAGTGCTTGGGCCCCTGCACCCATGTGGGAGACCCGGAGAAAGCTCCTGGCTCCTGGCTTCGGATTGGCGCAGCTCCAGCCGTTACAACCAGTTGGGGAGTGAACCATCAGGTGGAAGATATCTCTCTCTCTCTCTGCCTCTACTCTCTCTGTGTAACTCTGACTTTCAAATAAATAAATCAATCTTTTAAAAAAAAAGTCTCAAGCTCTCTACTCTCCCTCCTCCCTGCCTCCTGCCAGTTTGAGGCTGTGCTGC